TATTTTTTTATGTACTTGATTTTCTTTTCCAAGCAGAATCTTTAAGGCCAACTTGAAGATTCATGTGACTTTTGAAACTTTTATGTTTTTTGTTTGCAACACAAGTTAGAATTGCACTTTTTTTTTCTTCAAAATTATAATATTAATCATATGTTATCAACTTTACAACTTCTTTTAGTGTAATGCAATTGTTCTGGCCTGGACCCCGGCCTGACCGGGAAGCCCCGTCGACCAGACACTGCCCCCGTCGGGCAGAACCTTCCCTCCGTCGACCATACACTGCCCCGTCGGGAAGAACCTTCCTCAACTGTGTCGAGCACAAGACTGCCCGTCGACCAGACACTGCCACCGTCAGGCAGAACCTTCCCTCCATGGGCAGGACCTTACCCTCCGCGGGCATGACCTTACCCTCCGCGGGCAGGACCTTACCCTCCACGGGCCGGACCTTCTCTCCCTCCGCGGGCCGGACCTTCTCTCCCTCCGCGGGCAGGACCTTACCCCTCCGCGGGCAGGACCTTACCCTCCACAGGCAGGACCTTCTCCCCCTCCGCAGGTAGGAACTTACCCTCCGCGGGCGGAGCCTTCTCTCCCTCCGCGGGCAGGACCTTACCCTCCACGGGCAGGATTTTCTCCCCCTCCGTGGGCGGGACCTTACCCCCCGCGGACAGGACCTTCTCCCCCTCCGCGGGCAGGACCTTATCCCTCCGCGGGAAGATCCTTCCCCCTCCGCGGGCAGGACCTTCTCTTTGTCGGGCAGAACAATGTGCTCTTCACACGTTCTCCACGTGCCCCCCTCCGCGGGGACACGTCACCGACCAACTGCCCACCTCCGAAAGGGCAGGTCAAATCCACTTTCCGGAGATCACGGGACAGTTGGACTAGGGCGAAGACCACATCCTGGTCTTCACTACACCACGTAAGCCCTAGTAGTCACCTGGGTTGGGCCTGACAATCCAGCCCAACACAAGTAATCGTTGGCCCAACGCTGGGGTCTCTCTATAAATACCCTCTTCCATAAGAGGGTCAGGTAATTCACTTCTTACCCTTTTTTCTGTGCTTGTGACTACTCTGCCCCATATACTCACTTTGGCATCGAAGTGCCTTGCAGGTACACCCCCTCCTCCTCATCATCACCGGTGAACAGGCAGCAACCCAACAGAGTGTGGCCAACTAGTGATCCCCTTCTGATCAGGCCAGATCAGTGGCGCCGTCTGTGGGAACTAAGCTTCCCCGTTCCTCCGAGCAGAGAACTAAAGCTGCATCTCTCAACTTCAGGATCAGGACTAGCCCATGCCATGACAACGTTGTTCACAACTCCGACCATGTCCCCGTCACCAACGGCGACAGTCAGGTGGGGACATATCAACTCCGCGAAGAGGGGCAGGACCCTCGCTGCCAACCAACCATCCCTTGCCCTTTCCTTCGTCGGGAAGGACCTTGGCTGCCAACCAGCCAGCCTTTGTCCTCTCCTCGTCGAGCAGTACCTTGGCTGCCAACCGGCCAGCCTTTGCCCTCTCCTTCATCAAGCAGAAGCTCTGACGAGCAGGACCTTGGCTGCCAACTATCCAGCCTTTGTCCTCTCCCTCGTCGAGCAGAAGCTCTATCGAGCAGGGCCTTGGCGGCCAACCAGCCAGCCCTTGCCTCTCCATTATCGGGCAGAAGCTCTGTCGAGCAGGACCTTGGCTGCCAACCAGCCAACCCTTGCCCCCTCCTTCGTCAGGTAGAAGACCCGTCGGGCAGGACCCTGGCTGCCAACCAGTCATCCTTTGTCCTCTCCTTCGTCGAGCAGAGCCCTGTCTTCACGGGGCAAGACGGAGCACGGGGCCTACTACCTCGAAAACCTACACAGGGATCAACTAGCTTGACCATGGAACGCCGAGAAGCTGAAAAGCTACTACAGGTAAACACTGCCCGCGACGCCCAGGCGTCGCGACCACAGGGGGGCGACATGGTACCACCGCATCTCCTCGCGTCTTCTCGAGACCAACAAAACAGCAAGCCCTGCCTTTGTGTGCGCGGGCAGAAGGCTCTGCTCGACGGAGAATCCCTCGATCGAGACTCCCCGCCGCTGTACCAGAATCGACAGGACACCCAGCTCGCGATGGGACGTTCACGCCGCGGGGATAAACTACCCCCGAAACGGCCAGGTAATGAAACCGGTCAACCGGCCAGTTCTCCACACTACCGGAAACAATTATCGTCGAGCTACCACCCTGGACAGGCTCAAAGGTATAAGAACATGCATTTCAAACATACAAACATATATTTCAAGCATACAAAAGTGCAGAAATAAAACGAGCATAACACCATGCAGAAACAAGACAAAGCGCACACTTAAACAAAATTCCATAATACGGGCACAAGCCCATAAGTCAAAATGTTACAATAAACGGGCACAACCCCTAGCTGTCGAGCATGACCTTGGTTGCCAACCAGCCAGCCCTTGCCCTCTCCTTCGTCGGGCAGAAGCTCTTCCGAGCAGGACCTTGGCTGCCAACCAGCCAGCCTTTGTCCTCTCCTTCGTCGAGCAGGACCTTGGCTGCCAATCAGCCAACCTTTGTCCTCTCCTTCGTCGAGCAGAAGCTTTGACGAGCAGGATCTTGGCTGCAACTAGCCAACCTTTGTCCTCTCCTTCGTCGAGCAGAGGCTCTGTCGAGCAGGACTTTGGCTACCAATCAGCCAGCCCCTGCCCCCTCCTTCGTCGAGCAGGACCTTGGCTGCCAAACAGCCAACCTTTATCCTTTCCTTCGTCGAGCCGAAGCTCTGTCGAGCAGGGCCTTGGCTGCCAACCAGCCAACCTTTGTCCTCTCCTTCGTCGAGCAGGACCTTGGCTGCCAACCAGCCAGCCCTTTCCCTCTCCTTCGTCGAGCAGGACCTCGGCTGCCAAACAACCAACCTTTATCCTCTCTTTCGTCGAGCAGGACCTTGGCATCCAATCTGCCAACCTTTGTCATCTCCTTCGTCGAGCAGAAGCTCTGTCGAGCAGGACCTTGGCTGCCAACCAATCAACCTTTGTCCTCTCCTTCGTCGAGCAGAAGCTCTGTCGAGCAAAACCTTAGCTGCCAACCAGCCAACCTTTGTCCTCTCCTTCGTCGAGCAGGATCTTAGATACCAAACAACCAACCTTTATCCTCTCCTTCGTCGAGCAGGACCTTCGCTGCCACTCAGCCAACCTTTGTCCTCTCCTTTGTTCTCTCCTTCGTCGAGCAGGACTTTGGCTGCCAACCAACCAGCATTTGTCCTCTCCTTCGTCGAGCAGGACCTTGGCTGCCAACCAGCCAGCCTTTGTCATCTCCTTTGTCGAGCAGAAGCTCTGTCGAGCAGGACCTTGGCCGCCTAATCGCAGTATTATCAAGTCCTCGCTCCCTTGCCTCGGAGCTACGACTTAGGGGGCTCTTGTTCTAGCCTGGGCCCCGGCCTGACCGGGAAGCCCCAACCCACATACACTTGGGAGAAGGCCCAAAGGAGCCATCCTCATCTGTGTCGAGCACAAGACTCCCGTCGACTAGACACTGCCCCCGTTGGACAGAACCTTCCCTCCGTCGACCAGACACTGCCCCGTCGGGCATAACCTTCCTCATCTGTGTCGAGCACAAGACTGCCCATCGACCAGACACTGCCATTGTCGGGCAGAACCTTCCCTCCGCGGGCAGGACCTTCTCCCCCTCCGCGGGCAGGACCTTACCCTCCGTGGGTCGAACCTTCTCTCCCTCCGCGGGCAGGACCTTACCCTCTGCGGGTAGGACCTTACCCCTCCGCGGGCAGGACCTTACCCTCCGTGTGTCAGACCTTCTCTCCCTCCGCGGGCAGGACCTTACCCCTCCGCGGGTAGGACCTTACCCTCCGCGGGCAGGACCTTCTCCCCCTCTGCGGGCAGGACCTTACCCTCCGCGGGCCGGACCTTCTCTCCCTCCGCGGGCAGGACCTTACCCTCCGCGGGCAGGACCTTCTCCCCCTCCGCGGGCAGGACCTTACCCCCCGCGGGCATGACCTTCTCCCCCTTCGCGGGCAGGACCTTATCCCTCCGCGGGAAGATCCTTCCCCCTCCGCGGGCAGGACCTTCTCCTTGTCGGGCAGAACAACGTGTCCTTCACACTTTCTCCACGTGCCTCCCTCCGCGGGGACACGTCACCGACCAACTGCCCACCTCCGAAAGGGCAGGTCAAATCCACTTTCCGGAGATCACGGGACAGTTGGGCTAGGGCGAAGACCACGTCCTGGTCTTCACTACGCCACGTAAGCCCTAACAGTCACCTGGGTTGGGCTTGGCAATCCAGCCCAACACAATTAATCGTTGGTCCAGTGCTGGGGTCTCTCTATAAATACCCTCTTCCACAAGAGGGTCAGGTAATTCACTTCTTACTCCTTTTTCTATGCTTGTGACCGCTCTGCCCCATATACTCACCTTTGCATCGGAGTGCCTTGCAGGTACACCCTCTCCTCCTCCTTATCACCCTCTCCTCCTCCTTATCACCGGTGAACCGGCAACAATCCAATAGAGTGTGGTCAGCTAGTGATCTCCTTCTGATCAGGCCAGATCAACAATGTTTATCTTTTATGTCACATATTCAATTTCATAGCTTTTAATTATGTTTTTTCTCTTCTATTTAATGTTATTCAAATATATCGAATTAATTATTTTTTATAATTACATATTCGCACGAGTATTTTACTAGTTAATTAAATATTAATCATAAATATAATAAATTAGACACATCTGAATTTAATTTTAACACGTTCTAAAGATTGTTTGTTTTGTATTAAGTGCGTCTTTTAAAATTCAAATCTAAAAATTATTTTTAGAATTTTGTCAAAAGTGTGTGAGTAAATTATTCAAATCTACATCATGTTATTAAAATATCTTGAAATTAAAAATTTTAATTCCAACCAAAAACACACGTACCCTTTATCATTCTCCAATCCCTTTGAAAACTTTTCCCAATTTTCTACAACCTCCCAATTCCAAAAACCCTAAAATCTCCAAAACCATTGCCCACACAATGAGTTTTCGTAACGCAAGCGCAATACTCACAAGAGCCAACAGAATAAAATCAAAGCTTCAATCATCCCTCGAAGCCACCGTTCTGGAAGTAGACGACGTGTCGTATCAGCACGCCGGTCACGCCGCAATGAAAGACACTTCCGATAAAGAAACTCATTTCAACTTGAAAATCGTTTCTCCCAAATTCGAAGGTCAGAGTCTCGTTAAACGACACCGTATGGTCTATGATCTTCTCTCCGATGAGCTTCAATCTGGACTTCACGCACTTTCCATTGTCGCCAAGACGCCAAATGAAGTTACCGTTTCTGCGAAATGATACGGTGCGTTTTGGCAACTTTTCAAGTTTTGATTTTTTTTTTATTGTTGTTGAATAATCATGTTGAGCCATTGTAGTATCTGTTCTCCAACGTTCATTATGATTATTAGAATAAATTGACACTGTCTTGCATATTAAAGGACCCAAATAGCTATTTACTCTAATTATTATGATAAATGAAATTTTTTGGTAATTTATTATTTATGTAGTTGTTTGTTGTATGATAATAGATTTTGTCCAATTATTGGTTGTGCATACATTACATAGAAATACAATATAATGGCCTGTTTGAATTGGTTTATTCGAGCTTATCTAGTGACATAAGTTTTATGACACTACATTTTTCGGAGTGTAGTTTTATAAGTTCTCCAAGATCACTTACGTAAACAACTTATAACATATATAAAAATAGCTTATGCAGACTTATTCATAAGTGCTTATTTCGATAAGTACGTCTGTTATAAGCTGCAAATAAGTTTTTTATTCAAACAGACTCTAAGGTAGTTTGTCTGACTTTCAAGATAGGATCGAAGAGAGTCATAGTTTAGACTCCAATTTGAAGTTTTGCTCTTTGAGTTTAAATTAGATAGATTGTTAGTGTAAACCAACTTTACACATGCGTCCAATGAAAATCCATCATTCTAACATGTCCTTTTGGAAATTGATCTTAGAATCAATGATATGAAGTGGCAAAATAAAGGGCTTTCATTGGATGTTAGTATAAAACGTATTTACACTAACGGTGTGTTGCCTCTAAATCTCTTGCTCTTTTATTTACTTAGCATGATTTATGATTTTGTTCAATTGTTGGTTGAGCATAAATTGCAGTTCTTTATTTACGTATTGTTGTTTTATTTATTGTTGATGTTGATGACTATTTGATGAGATCCTTATCATTTTGAATTTGTTCAGTTGTTGGATGTGCATACAATTTACATATCTCTATTTTCTATTGCAGTATTTTTGGTGATTTATCGACTAGTTCCTTGATATTTTGAGTTTTGACAGTTGATTAGTCGAGATTCTTACATGAATACATTATTGATGATGTTAAACTGCTTTTTTCCTCTAAAAAGTGTTCTCACATCTGTAGGTCTTAACTTTTCTCATTGGTTTTAAGCTTTGGTAAATGAGAAGAGCTTCTCCTATTGATCTGGCTTTAACATTTTTCAGTAGGAATGTCTGGCTTCATCCAAACAGAACAAGTTTCGTATCATGGACTAGGGATAATGTTTAGTTTTTGGCTTTTGCTTCTGGTTTTAATGTTTTGGATGATATTCCACTTTATTTAGATTGTAGAATGCCATGTGTGTTGTTCGTATTGAGTCTGGACTAAAGCTCCAATGATGAATTAATCAGATGCCACATAACTTTTGCTTCTATCGTTCCAATTTCTGAATTTCAATTAGTTTTTCTTGTTACATGTTGAAGAGGATTGTTCTGAGGAGCTTCTGTCAGACTTCTTGATATCTTGCCACCATTTTCCTTTCTGGCTTCTCTCTCGCTCTCATCTATTTGCTTTTTCTAATGTACTTGAGAGTATATTGTGTGGAGCGAAGTAGTCATTCCCGGATAGCAGTGCAGAGCGGCCAATCCCAAAAGTGTGATAGTGTATATTGGGATGACTCCTCAATTTGATAATTTTTTCGACAAATTACATATAATAAGTATAAACATATATTTAATGTAAAATTAAACAAATAACACAATTCAAAATATTCATAAATCAAAGCCACATATGACTTTTGAGATCATAAACGACTATGAAGGAGGGTTAAGGTTGATTCACTCAAATTTGATTGAAAAAACCAAAATTACCCTTAAAACATTGTAAATTTAAGGGATAATTTCAGTTTGTTAGAAGGGAAAAGGCTGCTCTAAGCCAGGAACCACTCTACTCCGCTATCCCGCTATTTATCCTATAGCGGAAGCTATAGTTTTTTGCACCACTGAGGCTCTTCTCATAGCAGTTGGCCTCCGCTTCGCTATAGCGGGATAGCTCCGGTATTGACTACTTTTTTGTGGAGATATTACTCTTAATTAACAATATCTCCCACATAGGCTCTTCCCATAGCGGTTGGCCTCCGCCACAGCGGGATAGCGACACTAGTGACTACCCTGGTGTGGAGTTATTAACTTATTATCCTTAATTAACAATATCTGTCACATGCAAGTATAAATAAGACAAAACTTAGAGAAAGTTATATAAACATTGTTTTTACTGTTCGTAGCTTAATGGTTGCTCTTCTTTTTTCTTTTTTAAATCAGGTATTGTAATGACTGGTCAAAGTGATTTATTTTGGACTAGTATTGTATGAAGGGCATTGAAGTATGAAAGCATGCCATGTAAAGACAATTTCACCCATAGATAAATGGTGTACCAAAAGGAAGAGAATAATTGCAGTAAATTAAGTTTCATTTTTAGTTTGTGTTTTGCTTGAACCTATTTTTCTCTCAAAATTATAAATCATGCTTACACCTAATCATGTTTGCACCTAATCGTAATTCATGTACTCCCAATCAAAATATGATTTGTGATTGAAATTATTTAGACAAAGTTCAAATGCAATGTTACCAATTAGGTCCTCATAGTATTGAAATTTTAGTGAACACAACATTTTTTGATGAGCATGATCTCAGAGATTTAATCCTGTCATCCTCACATAAGGATAAGGGTTGCAATTATATTTATGTCCTTATTAAAAATTTCTGAATCTTTCAAAAGTATATGCAATTGTGTGATTTTTCGTTGAAGAATTTGGTTTAATTGTTTAAAATTAATTAGAATTTTAATTAGATATTAGAATAAATAGTATTTTATTTAAATTAATTAAATAAAATAGTAAAATAGGAGTTTTGGATCATTTGTGGGAATGAGAGAAAATATGTGGGAAGAGTACAAGAGCTAGTAATGAATTGAGCAAAAATATTAATTAAGCAAAAGTGATGGGGGATACTATATATATTTTAAAAGTAGGGAAAAAATTAGCTTTTGGAGAAACATCTTACATACGTAGTCACTAGTGTTGCTATCCGCTGCTGGATTTTTTTTGAGGTCTGGATTTTTGAAGATAGTAAATCGCGTCTGGATTTTTTTTGAGGTCTGAACGTGTTCGCTTAACAAGCTACTGTGTTTGCTGAAGCGAACGTACAGGGTGAGGATTATGGTTTTCTGTGACTTTCGCTTAGCGAGAGATGCGTTGTTTAGCAAGCAAAGGTTTCGCTTAGCGATGAACAATGCTAAATTTTTGTTGTGTCGCTTTGTCGGTTCGTTTTCTGATGCTAACAATGACGAGTTTAGTGATGTTCAACATGATAAATTAACATGTTGAAGTGATGTGTGAATATGTTGTGGATTAGATGAACAATTTCGTAAATTGTGATGTTTGTATGATGATGTATGTCGCAACTGCGAAAAACATCCGGCGGAAAATAGAAGAGTCGTCGCCACCTTTCGTTATTTATCCCAAAGAGAGGGAAAGGAAACGATCAGAAAAACCTGACGAAAAGGGAAAGACAAGGTCATCGCAACCATGTCTGGGTTCGGGAGTCGGTTACGCAAGGGGAAGATATTAGCACCCCTCACGTCCGTCGTACTCGACGGGATCCACGCATTGTTGTCTATCTAAAAGGGTGATCAATTATCTACGCTAAAGGTTAAAGGACAAAAGAAAAAGAAAAGAGAAGTGACTCGGCAGAGCATCGCCGCTCTGTGCCTACGTACTCTCTCGTGCAATGGGAAAGTCAGAGTCAACATAGTTCGACTAACTACGGGTGAAAGGGGGAAGGTTGCTCGCCAAGACGTCGCGTCTTGTGCCTACGTACTTTCATCTGGTATGAAAGATCAGAGCAAACGTAGTTCGGGCTAAAAAGACCACAGGTTGGTTCAAAAGTTTTTAGGCCCGAGTAGGGTTAACAAGTAGTTCTAGCAGTTGGTGTATGCAGCTCGACCATTGGAGACTTAGGCGTTACCGTTTGCGGCAGAACTAAGAGTTAACGACACTCTTTTATCTGAAAAGATTTCCTGATTAAGATCCCGAAGGATGAAAAAGGTTTGAAGTGTTTTTGCGTTTTTTAGAGAGGAAGTGTTGCAGCAGCAGTCCTCCTACTCCATAGCCACACTTCAATCACTTCTATGTCATCCTCACCACTTGATTTATGCATCATCTTGGTCCAAGAACTTGGATTGGCAGCTGTCCACAATCTTGAATGAGATTTCATCACAAATCTCCCTCCAAAATGCCAAAGTACAAATCTGCCCCAAACCTTTCCTTGGCCTATAGATAGAGGTTTCCTCTATGTTGAAACAGAGACCAGAGCTCTCTAAAACCCAAGAGAAAACCATAGCTCTCATCTTGCTTTGCATTTTCTTACAAGTGAAGAAAACCATTCCAAAACTTCTCAAAAATCTGCCTTGAGCATTTAGCCTTCCAAAATCATTTTCACCCACTCAAAATCATCACAAACCATCCACACAATCCATAAATGATGTGTGGGAGGTGTTCAAGCCTTTAAACCAGTCAAAAACTTCATTTCCTCAAAAGTCAACTTTCAACCAAGCAAAGTTTGACTTCACATACAAAATCTGCCAAATCTCTGTTCAGGCCTGTTTTGATCATTTTAAACCTCCAAACACCTTTGGTTTATGATGTACCAACTGTCCATAACCTAAAATACCATCATCATCACTTGTTTCAAGTTCTGGTCCAAGATTCACTTGTTTACTTCAAGTGCAAGAAAGGTTGCATTTTCACCAAGGCATTGGTTGGAGCACATTTGGGGAGTCTTCAAGGTTTTCCCTTCTATATTAGCTTGCTTGGAAGTCTGCAAGAGGTTGGTAGTTACTATCCTTCTTTAAACTGTCATGAATATGTTTGATGTGCATTAGTGGTTACAATGTGTTTTGAATACAATGCAGTTCATGTTTGAATCTGTCCTATTTTGCTTGTTTGCTCATTAATGTATATTGCTTTTATGATATTCATACAATATGTTGTGTT